AGTAATGTCAAAGTGGAATCATATTTTTTGAATTTTTGTACAAATTAATAACAAATGAAAAGCTGAAATGTCTTCAACCCCTTTGTTATGGCAAGCATAAATAGGTTCAGGAGTAGAAATGTGCTTAACAAGTCACACAATAAGTTGCATGGACTCACTCTGTGTGCAATAATAGTGACTGACATGATTTTTGAATGACTATTTCTTCTCTGTACCCCACACATACAATTATCTGTAAGGTCCCTCAGTTGAGCAGTGAATTTCAAACACAGATTCAACTATATACACTTTGACATTGCATAGTATTTTGTGTAAATCGTTGACAAAAATGACAATTAAATCCAGTTTAATCCCACTTTGTAACACAACAAAATGTGAAAAAAGTCAAGGGGTATGAATACTTTCTGAAGGCACTGTAACACTTAGAACACCTGAGTTTTCTTCTTGTCATCTTCTCATAGCATGCCCTCTTCTACAATGTCAAAGAGCAAATTGCAAACACAGCACAGTTATATGTTCACCTAAACTCCTTCTCAAAGGGGTTTGGTTCAATCAAGAAAATGTGGTTACGTAACTCCCTTGCCTGTGCCGTTTCTGGATGTGTATCAAATGCATTTTTGGAGGGAAGATGCTTCACCGGGAAATCATTTGTTTCCTCTTTGCAATCCACCCTACAGTGGGACCTTCACATGTCCAGCAAAGGCAGTCGTTAAGACTGTCTTTTTTCTCCTGCATTAAGGTCTAATATATCACTTGTGCAGTCAATTATACTTGACAGGCAGCTTCTTGAACTTGAACTGGGTCATCTGGTGACAGATAGCACGGCCTGTTTGTTCAATTTCCTCTTCTGCAATGGCATCGCTCTGAAGTGACTTATTATAAATCACTGTGGTTGCGTTCATCATGTATCTTGTCAGCGCCACTGCGCCAGGGAAAGGTAAGGAGTGCGTGTGTGCCTGTGTGTGTGCAAGTGTCAGAGAGAGAGAGAGAGAAAAGACAGTGAGAGAGATTGATTTAGGACACAAATAGGGAGAGTATCGTGGTATGAGGATATTAAAGAGAAGGTAAGGGTATGTTTACTTCAATGTGAGCTTGAGAGAGACAAAAACCTCATGCATTGGATTCTGAATAATACCGTATATGCATGGGTGTAGGGGTTGTACCTTTAAGTTGATGTGGCAGGTAATACCAAGAGGATATATATGTGTGTGTATGTGTTTGTGTGTTTGTGTGTGTGTGTGCGTGCATGTGCGCGTGTGTGCGTGTGTGTGGTGCACATGTGTGTGTCTGAGTGTGGGCACGCTGACAGTCGCATGGTAGGCTGAGAGACATGAAACCCTTTACTTGGCCCTTCGCCCCTCATCACCTTGAGCGGGTTCTGCTGGCTGCCGCATATCAGTTTTAATGTGACGGAGAGATAATGAGGATCTTTCCATCCCAGAGAGAGAGCAAAAGAGCGAGAGAGAGTGAGGGGGAGCGAGGGGGTGGGGGGGAGACGGGGAAAGAGACTGGGAGAGAGAGAGCGAGTGTGTGTAAGAGAGAGAGAGAGAGAGGAGGTCAAAGGACAATGTCTGAAGTGGAACGCAAATCCCAAAGGAAGATGGAGGAGCTCCTGGCAACAGCATCCACACATGAGATGAGAGAGAGTGTTGCACTGCCAGCACAACAACTATTTGTTCCCCTTTAATAGTGCAGCTGGTATTTCAGCGAAATACTGGTGATACTATCAACTAGACTGGCCTTGCCTCCTGACTTCAGCATGGTTAGATAATAAGGCTTACTGTCACTTTCAGACTGTGTCAAATGGATGTATCTGTGCTCATAGGTAAACATTTGAGTGAAGGAATGTATTTATCTAGAAAATATACAAATTTTTTGTTGGTGTTTGATATTGAAATAGTTTTTTTTTAAAGGCTGGTTGATGCCAAGCTGAAATTTCGATTGAACAAAGAATGGGAGCAATAAACAGGGTAATGAACGAAATCCAAAGCACTCTTTGGATCATGTTCGTAGTTTCTCAGTTTCCATGGAAAAGGCTATCCGTCCATTACAGGTATCAACCAATTAGTGAAGTGTCAATCTGTCTTTGACAAGTGGACTTGATCATATTACAACATGCAGAACACTCAAACCCATTGATGTGACCCTTTGTGAAGCTGACATCACAAGAAGTGCTTTTTCAGATTTAGTTACCACAGCTTTGAAGCTTCTGACCTTGCATCGGTCCAGTGTCACAACAAAGTACATTATTCAAAAGGCATTGTCTTCCTCTTCAGGGGTTGCCAAATGGTAACGCTAAACGCTAATTGACTGAATGGTGCAGAAGTCTATCGCTCACATCTGTGTTTATGGGTGAATTGAGAGGACCCAGCTGGCTAATATATGACGTAGATTAGTGTCTGTGCCAGCTGTCCCTTACACTACGCTGATAGGGATGCCCCTGATGCCCCATTCCAGTTGTGAGCAAACCTGTTCCCAAAGCTAGTCAAGGGCATGTTCGCACACACACACACACTTACTTGCTTGCTTATGGTAGTCCATCACTTATGGTAGTCCATGATGACATCCACTTCTGAGGTAACGGTGAAGTCTTTGGTGGCTGTAGAGTCCAATCCGAGATCCACAAGCTTTATTGCAGGTGGGGCATGTGTATTCTGTGTTGGTGGGGGCAGGCATGGTTGTTTTTGCTGTCTCTTTGTGTTCCTCTCCTCCTCACACCTCTGTACACCGCTCTGACAGAGCTGCCTCCAGGTGGGATGGTCGGCAGCAGCGTCCTCCAGGTCTGTGGGTTTGATGTTGCACTTCTTCAGCGATGTCTTCAGCTGGTCCTTGTAGCACTTCTTCTGCACCCCTGCAGACCGCCGGTCACGGTGTAACTGGCCATACAGGATCTTCTGCGGCAGGCGCTCCGGAGACATCCTGATGACATGCCCGAGCCAGCGCAGTTGGTGTTGGGTGACTGTGGCCTCCATACTTTTGCAGTTGGTCTTGGCAAGTATTTCTGTCACGTCAGTTGATTCCCAGGATAGGAACACACACACACACTCATACACACTTCACTTTGGGTTATTTCTAGAGCAACAGGAGTGAGTTCATTTAAAAAACAACATGGACATGACCACAGTAAAAGCTGAAGGATTCAACCAGTACACATTGTACATTCCAAGGCAGTCACAAAACTGTCTCACAGTAACTAAGAATGAACTCAACACTGCCATTTTGGTTGATCATACCACATTGTCCTGGGATTACAGTGAACAAATAGGTCCGAGATGAACAAGTGCATGAGAATATTCTGGACAATTGGCTTTTTAGAGACAGGAGATGTCTGATCAGGTTAATATGTATTATGAGGGGCTCTGAACAAAACTAATTACAACGATAACAAGAATAAGTCACCTTGTTTATCTGATTGCTTCGCGGGCCCTTCGATAAAATCAATTTTCATGGTTTCAATTGCATCCCTTAATTAAGAGAGGACCTCTCCATGTAACAGCAGCCCTTAGCTCCTATTGATTGATGCCTAATATAGCAAATATGAAAAATGGATACTGCGGCAGACAGGACAAAGTGAGAGATGAAATTAAGTTGCACCGCCACTAGTGTGAGTGTGTGTGAGGTCTCGTGTGTGTGAGGTGTGTGTGTGTGGTGTGTGGTCTGTGTGTGTGTGTGACAGAGTATCCCTCTGTCTAACACGTTCATACTCTACATGACCTTGACAGGTTATTTCCTCGCCATCCTTGAGTGGAGGGACAAAGAGGAGTTATAGACAACACAACATCCAGTTTGATATGCTGTACACATTGAAGTCTCTCTGGAATATTACGTCTTCATGACTATGACAGTGTTTTGCTAATTAACAGTTATATACGCACACACAAATGCACAATAATAATCAGAGAGGCCTTACAAATCTGTGTTTCAGAATTCATCAGCATCGTCACAGTTTGTACAGATTATGAATGCATGTAGATTAATTTGGCTTGGGTAATAATTATCCACAGCCTACAGTACATTTCATTTATGTAAATGTTTTCATGCGTGAGCGCTATTTTCAGACGCTCTCTGTTTGGAAAACAAATTGGTGAAGCAATCAGGCTAATATATTCCTATTTGTGAGGCAAGTCATTAAGGGAAGGGTTTCCAAAGGCCAATGTTTGCATTTGGCAAATTCACCTAAGTGAATGTAAGCCTACAGATATCATTAATTGCAGTCAGTTTTCCTTAAAGCACTATTTTCTAGAAAACACTATTTGTATTGAATGATGGACTGGTGTGTAGGACATGGCTCAACCTCTGTACACCCACCACACACTCTGAAGAAATGATCCAGAGAGACCTACTGCAGAGACTGTCTCATCATATGTTCATCAGGGATCAGGATCGCACACCACTATCTAAATATAGAGATGTCATTCACTTAGAAATTAAATTGGAAAAGGAGCCTGAAAGAGTTTAAATGAGCTGGTGGATAGACAGTCTTCATGTGGAAAAAGTTATTGTCCCCATTTATCCGACACAGTCCAGAACTTCATTATATTACTGTAATAGATAGGAGAGGGTAATATTTGATTAATGGCCAGTGCTGTGACATGTACTCTGAATTGATTAGAGAACTTTCCGGGATAACTTTTCCCTCTCTCTCTCTCCTCCTGCTATCGGGCTTTAAAGGATGTAGCCGACCCGAGGTGGTACTGTAGGCTACTACTTGGCTGGCCTCCCTGCCTGTGCCATTAAACCCCTACAACTCATCCAGAATGCCGCAGCCCGTCTGGTGTTCTCTCACGTCACCCCGCTCCTCCGCACACTACACTGGCTTACAGTTGAAGCTTGCATCTGAAACCAGGTCTGCCAGACTTAGAACGGCACCTCC